AAGTGATTTTATTTTTGGCACAGACTCCAGGCATTGAGTAAATCATGCTCTTCTCTTTTTTCTGTCATCCAAGCCCTGGAATATCGGCCAAAAACTGTCACCTGGCACAAAGCTGGGACTTATGGAGTATAGAGCAATAGGAAAAGATAGCTTTGTGGAGTTTTCATCTGATAGACATGCCAACCTCACAAACTTCTTGTGCCACAAGCACAGGGAAGATGAAGTCCTCAGAGACAGACACCACAGATGACTGTAAGCAGGAGTCTGTTTTCCCCAAGAGATTTGCAGTGGGCCAATTTCATTGCAGGTGTAATTTCACTGAATGACTTTAGCTCAGTAGCTATATGTGAAGTTCAGATGCCACTACAGCAGAAGAGTGCCAGGTGTTAAAAACCATCACACACTAGACACCAGGCTGAAATGCACTTTATAAGTATCATAGACAGCTCAGCTGAATTAGACACTTAATAAAGCTCGCTGAATGAGCTGCATGATGGCACATGAAATCAGGATTGAGACGCCTATGGTGATGGACTGAATAATATAAGCTATTCACATACAATACTGAATTCTAAACTAACTGTAGTCGCTCAGGAAAGATATCTGGCCCTAACTGCAGAGAGCAGAATAAAAATAGTGACACATCAGCTGGCATGTCACTGGATAGAGACTAGATAACTGTAGCCCATAGGGCTAGTTTGCCTTCACTGTCTTCAGCTGCAATACAAGGCCCCTACAGGCCTGTATGCTGTAAGACATTAGCTGAAACACATAAGTACAGAAGGCCTGCAACCTTTGGCATAGATACATGGCCCAACAGTTACCTTTAGATTTTTGGGAACTAGGCAAAGCTTGCTCAATGGTAAGCGTTAGACCGCAACGGTAACTGGCAACGGCAGGAACAACTGCAAATTTGCTTAAGCAAGTGACATGTATGATACGTTAAAATGGAATGAATATGCTAATTTATGGGATAGGTGCACCTCAGTATTAGGTGGCTGAGGCAGTTAGCTTTGGGCATGGAAGCTGAGTATTTGCATGAATATTCAGAATAGGACAGACCCCCCCCATGGCGAGTTACTCTTGTTTAACTTAGTGAGCGCTTTCCTTCCTTTGACCCTTCAGTTCTGTTGTTATTTATCATCAGTCTTGGGCATTGAGGAACCTGGACCATCGGAGTCATTTGGCTTGCCAGAGACAGGGCTGGTCCTTTGTCTCTGACCACCAGGTCCTCAAGGAAGGGCGTAAGTATGCAGATTTAAGAGCTTATTCATAAAATAATACCACGGATAGCCCTCCTACTTTTCATTTGGCTTGGAGCTTTTCTGTTGTTGTTCCTTATTTTAATGAAGATTAAGGCTTTGGCCGCAGTGTGAGTGTCCTTGCCAGACACCCCGAGGCTCCCTACAAGATACTGAACTCTTTGGTTTTCATTTTGGGTAGCTTGATTCTGGGACAAGAACCTTATTACCTGCTGATCAATTGGCAATCAATACAACTATTATTAACCTTCAGAAAGAGTCAGGCAACAGTGGTGAGCCAGCCAGGAGCCTCGAGTAGCGTGTGGCAAGATTATTCAGGTGTCAGACACTCAGGAGACTTACCTGGGGTAAACTAGCATTAGAGAGCACAAGCTGTCTCGGACTCAGTTCGACAGGTTTCATTGTGCCCTGCGTTTTCTCTCAGGCATGTCAGCACCTTCTTGGCTGTTTCTTGGCAACACATTATTGCTCCTGGTGTGGTTTTTATGGTGTTTCTGCTTCTGTCGCCTCTTTCCTGTCCCTCAGTGGTAGTGCTTGATTGTTTTTTAATCTTGACGAGTCACACCTTGTGGGTGTTGTTGAATCTTTCAAGATGCGCGTTTAAAGTTTATAGACGTGCTAAGAGAGCTTTGTTGAATTTGCAATATTGAGGTACCTGACGCTGCAATTGCAGTCATATCGGAGCCCTGTGACACACACTGTGAGGTGGTGGGAGAGTTGATTTATGGTTTAGTTGTGCTCCCAGGAAGGCCACAGCCCTGCCGCTCTCCCCACCCAGCCCAGCCTGGGGTCAGCAGTTCCGCTTCCCCGGCTCACCACAAGCCTGGCCCCAGCAGACAGGGTCCTGGGACCCCCGGCCTGGCCCAAGAACAACAGGTGGGGGTGTTGTTGGGGCGGTGGGGGTGTTGGCTGGGCTCGTGGGGCGGGGGGACGGACAGGAAAGGCCCTTTGACAGACACACACACGGAGCCAGACGGGGCCAGTAATGATCTCCCTGATGCTGCAAAGTAACATGGAGCCCACCAAGCCCCACCATGGGTCCATCCCAGCCCAACCCCTGCTCAGCACAGCTGCCCCAATGGGCCATGGAGGGGGGCCTAGTGCTCCCTGGAGGAGGGGTTGGTGCACTCCGGAGGGAGAGGGGGGTTGATGCGCCCTGCGGGGGGAGTAAGGGGGGGGGTTGGCCACAGTTCAGAACCTGTGTAGGTCTGAGCTACTTTACGTTAGTCCCCCTGCTCTCCTGGGCTACCCCCTGATCTGTCTACTGAGGACAGACCGTGCCAGCTTGCCACTACACCCTGTGGGGCCCGACAGGGTAAACTCCTCTTGATTGCTAACCTGCTAGCCCTTAAGGGAAGAGAGGGAGTAAACCCCCAATCCTATGCTTTTTTGTGTGTGACTTGTTCAAGTTAATTGTTAAACCCACTTCAAAAGCAGTCATGGGATAAGAGGGAAGGTGCTCTCATGGATTGGTAACTGGTAACTGATTAAAAGATAGGAAATAAAGGGGAGGAATAAACGGTCAGTTTTCAGAATGGAGATAGTGGTGTCCCCCAAGGGTCTGTACTGGGCCCAGTCCTATTCCACATATTCATAAATGATCTGGAAAAAGGGGTAAACAGTGAGGTGGCAAAATCTGCAGATGATACAAAACTACTCAAATAGTTAAGTCCCAGGCAGACTGCGAAGAGCTACAAAAGGATCTCCCAAAACTGGGTGACTGGGCAACAAAATGGCAGATGAAATTCAATGTTGGTAATTGCAAAGTAATGCACACTGGAAAACACAATCCCAACTATACATATAAAATGATGGAGTCTAAATTAGCTGTTACCACTCAAGAAAGAGATCTTGGAGTCACTGTGGATAGTCCTCTGAAAACATCCACTCAATGTGCAGCAGCAGTCAAAAAAGCGAACAGAATGTTGGGAATCATTAAGAAAGGGATAGATAATAAGACAGAAAATATCATATTGCCTCTATATAAATCCCTGGTATGCCCACATCTTGAATTACTGCATGCAGATGTGGTCGCCCCATCCCAAAAAAGATATACTGGACTTGGAAAAGGTTCAGAAAAGGGCAACAAAAATTATTAGGGGTATGGAACGGCTGCCGTATGAGGAGAGATTAATAAGACTGGGACTTTTCACAGCTTGTAAAAGAGAAGACTAAGTGGGGATATGACTGAGGTCTATAAAATCATGACTGGTGTGAAGAAAGTAAATAAGGAAGTGTTATTTACTCCTTCTCATAATACAAGAACTAGGGGTCACCAAATGAAATTAACGGGCAGCAGGTTTAAAACAAACAAAAGGAAGTATTCTTTCACACAATGCACAGTCAACCTGTGGAACTCTTTGCCAGTGGATGTTGTGAAAGCAAAGACTATAACAGGGTTAAAAAAAGAACTAGATAAGTTCATGGAGGATAGGTCCATCGATGGCTATTAGCCAGGATGGACAGGGATGGTGTCCCTAGCCTCTGTTTGCCAGAAGCTGGGAATGAGCGACAGGGGATGGATCACTTGAGGATTCCCTGTTCTGTTCATTCCCTCGGGGCACCTGGCATAGGCCACTGTCGGCAGACAGGATACTGGGCTAGATGGACCTTTGATCTGACCCACTATGGCCATTCTTACGTTCTTATGGGTTACCATTTAGGAGGGATGCCTCCACATTATAGTGTTAAATGTTTATTGTGTAGTGTTAGAAATTATTTATTAGGCTAGCCAGTAGAATTTAAGTGACTTTTAATTTAGGGTTAGAGTGAGTGAATGGTGTTAGCAGGGAATTCTGGGGTTGCCCGTAGCATGGCTTTGGAAATCTTTGTAAGGAAATATATTAAGGAACATGGAGGAGGTGTAGTGCAGTTGAAGGACACTCAGTTCATCTCTGAGCATTCAAATCCATAGGGCTTTATGAGTCATGTGTTTGATGTGGAAGTAGGCACAAGAAAGGGAAGGCTAAGGAGGTGAAAGGGATTGTGGAATTCAGAACTTAAAGGATCAGCTGTGTGCTGCCTCAGCAGACCGGTCAGCTCTTTCCCACAGGAGTTGGAGAGAAAATTAGAATGGAGTCAGTATCAGGCGCAGGAGGCTTGGGAGAATCACATTGTGGGCAGACCAGGGCTGCTGCCAGCTTGAAATCGCTGGGTGGCTCCATAACTCAACACCCTGTTGTTATGCCAACAGAACTGTGCACACTGTTGCTTCAGCTGGAAAAATCATACTTGTAAATGGGGATGCATGTTAACAGATTGGATTGCAGGAGAAGACTGGGGGGAAAGCTGATGATTCTGCAGAGGAGAGAACACACTCTGCCAGGTTTGAAGTTTGTATTGTGGTTAAAGGACAAGACTGGGAGACAGGACACCTGAATTCTACTCCTGATTGTGGAATCAATAAGTGACCTTGGGAAAGCCAATGTGTCTGTGTCTCGGTTTCCTCATCTGCGAATGAGGATAATATTTACTCATACCTTACGGTGCACTAATGTAATTCTAAAGCAATTTGAGATCCTCAGAGGAAACACGAGAAAAACGCAAAATGATTATTAACAACTTCGTGTTCACAACAAATCTTTCCCCATGAAATGTAAGGAGAGGGTTTAGAAAAACCATACTTGGCATTCCTGCAGTGCCGGACCCGAAATCAAGTCATTCAGCGTTGTGTACCTTGCTGCTTCATGTTCTTGAAGGGGAAGAGAGCAGCATTTAAAAAGACAGTAACAGCAATGGTGACCATAAATCATATGCTTTTATTTAACATAAAATGAAACATTAAGATAAAATACACATTTATCCATGTGCTGAAGAACTATTGTATTTTACATTCATTTATGAAGCAGGTAGTTTTACATGACAAAAATAAGGAGTGAGGGGAAGAGGAACTTAATCTGCAATAAGACATAAGCCACAAGGCAGGCTTTCGCTTTTCAAAGTGCTACCTCCAAAGGACACACATATCTCAAAGTGACAAGATACAAATATGCTGTTTTTAGCACTCCTCAGATCCTTTTTAATGCTGGTGAGAAGTTAAGGTGGAATCTTATACAGCAGACCCCGAAGCAGACTTTTAAAATTATTTTTATTTTTCATTTGGGGAGAGAATCAGTTTACTAGAATGAACTCTGCCAATCTGCAAAGCTGCCATATTACGGGCCACACATCTCTCTGCTGTGATTGCTGGTTTAATGGAATTGACCCATTACGTTTTTTTAAATGCCTGGAAATTGTGTCATTTCCTCATTAAGGAGGAGAGTGAATTACAATAATCTTACTGTTCAGGTCAAACTTATCACTGGATAACAGAAAATGACAGGTTTCTTATTTGACTACTACTTAGTTAAGTTTGATTGCTTGACTCTGCTAGTTTGCAAAGGGACTATTTCAGAATCAAATTGCCAACGGGCTGCATCAGCCATCAGCTCACTTTTCCCAGTGTTGGGGCTGGAGTTCAGCTGTGATGTCCTACTATAAAAGACCAAACCCAGGACTATTACACTCTTGGCACAGCTTTTTGCATAGAAACACTAATCAGCCTCTGAGAAGTGCAACTGAAAGAAAACCCAGAGGGGAAAAGTTGGCTTCTAAGTTTTAAACGGGGCAGGAAGGGATGGGAGCTGCAGCAGTACCAGCAGGACTAGGAATGTTTAGACAAAGTGCAGATCAAAACAACACATACTGTATATTTGTTTCTAACCCATATATTTTAAATATTAAAACAAATATAAAAACTGTAACTCCACATCAGGGTTGTGGTAACTCAAACTTTGTTCTCAAAATTCATGTCACCAGAATCCTGAGATGGACTTACAGCCTTTGTAGGTACATTTATGTAAAATATAGTTGTATATACACACACACACATATACACTCTAGTTATAGATACGTAGACACACCCAAACAGTGTCACCTTCTTCTAGTGCAGCTGTTTAGAGTGAAAACCCCTTTGAATGTGCAGACTGCAAGTCAGAGAAAGAAAGATAAAATGACTTTATTAAAAAATGATCTCACTCTGTGTATGTAAATAGAGGCCTGGCATATTTGGGGGTGTTTGGAAAATAATCTTAACAATAACAAAACTGTCTGTCTTTGAGTTTTCTTTAAAGTCAAACCCTTAACACAAATCAAATAGCTTTTTTGCATTCAATGTCCCTTCCCACAAACCCCGATCACAGAGAGTTTTTGTGAACACAATTCTTGTTTATCAGAGAGATTCCAGCAGTTGCGGCAGAGCGGTTTGGGCTATGGTAAACACAGTGGCTCCAATTTGGGGTACATCTGAGGTGAGCGCAGCACCTCCAAAAGGTGAAGGGGCAAAGTGTCTGTGTTTCACCTTTATGCACCAGATTCTGGAGCCTTCTGTCAGCCCAGAACAGCCAAAGTGCAGCAAGTTCTAGCCATGCCTCCTCCCTTGCTCAGTATTGCCCCACACCAGGGACTGACAGAGTCAATTCTGTCTCTCTTATGCCACCAAGGGGAGACCTTTCCTGCTGGGGAGATTTGCTAGCTTTACAGCCCCTGTATGTCTGCAGAGTTGGTGTCTGGGGGACAGAGGAAGGCCCAGAATTGGAGCCACTGATCAAAAGGGCAGCAACTTAAATGTACTGTGTTCTTGAATGATTGGGTTAATCTAACCCTGAACATTGCCATAAGAGCTTTACTCTTTATGCATCTGTGATGTAATAATGGGGTGTGGGGGAATGGATGTGATATTACAATACAAATCAGCTGTGACACATACACTATGGACTTTAGTCTAATCCTGTAAGGTGCATTGCAACCTCAGCTGCCACTGATTTCAATGGTAATTGAAGATGCTGAGCACTTCACAGGTTTGGGGCCACTATTAGGTAAACTGCACTGGATGTGCTGTATATAATGCACATGTATCATAGCTGATTGTTCAGGTAGTCTGCAGCCACCTATCATTTCCCTTCTAACTAGAATTTTGTCTTTTTTATATTCATATAATTTGTGATCTTGTACCTCTGGGAATTCTTGTGTCCAAGTTACAGCATCTTGGAAACAGAATTCCTATGATGAATGTTGCCAGCAGTCTCAGCAGATTTACTAGTGCTTCCCCTTAGGGAGTTTTCTAGGGGTCCTGCCCAAGTATAGTAGAAGAAAACCCATTCCATCTTCCAGTAGTGACTGATGGCACACATCACTCTCTACAGTGATATTGGACCCAAGATCCTAGAAAAGAAAACTCGTTAAGAGAGTGTTGCCTTGAAATCCCAAATATACTGAGGCTCTTGGCAAGTTGTATTCATTCCCCATCTGCGCTATCAGAGGACGACATAAGAATTAAACTATTAGCTACATTTATTAAAATTCTAATGGTTGCTTTTGATTTTAGTTGAGTAGCTTTGTACCACTATGTCTCTTCGGCAGTGCTTGTATAAAGCTCCACCTCAACTCCTTGTCTTCTCACCATTGATTGTTCCACGATAGGACAGAACATAAACGGACACACAAACAGGACACAAGACTGAAAAAAAAATTCTGTGCTGTATTTCTAAAACAGCTAACCTAGTCCAATTCATTCGCTGCGGCGCGTCAAGCTTTTTTGCTACCCTACAATCTGCTGCAGCAGCAACTGCTGCAATGGCAAGAGGCAGTGCTCCTCTCTCTCTCTTTTACATTAATACATAGGTAGGAACTCCAACCAGCTCCAATATTTTTAATACAATTAAACGTAAAATAAAAGAATATATGAAGTACATACAGTATATTTATATACATATTTATTTCAAATACTTAAAATTCTTATGTAAAATATGATTCTTCTATATTATTTGTGAAAAAATACGACTTTTAAAATGGTGTCACCTTGAATTTTCTATACATACCCTCTATTCCAATTTAAGTCCCTTTTAAAAAGGCAAAAGACAGACAAAAGTTTATCATCTTCTAAATCATGTTTACAAGCCTTGTGGCCAAACAAAATGAAAGAGCATCTGGTAAACACTATTGGATTTTTGTTTTAAGAATCCCCACTTTTATTGCATTAATGGAAAACCCAAGTGCTTTCAGTTCCCCTGCCAGGGAAATCGTCTCGGCCCTGCTGAGAAACTGCACACACACAATACCCTGTATATCTAGTTCACAAATCTTCCTTTGTCATTTTTTACACAAATATTAAAATATATATTACTTAAAATATATTACTGTAAGCTCTTAAAATTGATCTTCTTTTGTATCAAACGTATAGCATTAAAAAAAAGTAACAAAGAAAACTCATTGTCATCCTAGCAAACATTTGAGCCGTTCTCCCTGCTGGTAGCAACAGGACTTGAAGTTTTTAAGAGATTCTCTCTCACCCATGCTGGTTTCATGCACTCTGGATTAATTACAGGTTTCAGAGTAGCAGCCGTGTTAGTCTGTATTCGCAAAAAGAAAAGGAGGACTTGTGGCACCTTAGAGACTAACCAATTTATCTGAGCATCAGCTTTGGTGAGCTACAGCTCACATCATCCGATGAAGCGAGCTGTAGCTCACGAAAGCTGATGCTCAGATAAATTGGTTAGTCTCTAAGGTGCCACAAGTCCTCCTTTTCTTTCTCGATTAATTGAAGATAGTTTCCAGAGCTGTGAGGTGCCACAGGCAGTAACTTCCTAACAAAGGGCTCCTTCCCTCCTGTGATAAAAGCCATGCTAGCTGCAGCAGCTGGCAACACCCAAACGGGAGGATGCCACCCCTTGTCCTCCCACCTCCACTGTAACAGTCACGTTTTCAGAAGTGATCTTCAATTTTGAGTACTCCATCTAACACCCTTAGGCCTGATTTTCGGAGGTGCTGAAAGCTGGAATTGTGGACACTCCGCAGAATCCAGTCCCCAGGATTGAGGCATCCTAAAACTGGTGGCTACTTTTGAAAAATTACTCTAACGAAGATTACTCTAAATTAAATGCGGAAAGCCTTCCTCATTGGACTAAAGCAAACACAACCCAGTTCCAATTACAGTGTCCAGCGCTGCCTCCTTTACTCACATGTATATTCTTGTATTCCACAGGACCACTCATGAGAATGAGAAAGAACTGGGCCCATAATGTTCTTAACAGCCTCTAGAACAATTTAAATGGACGTAATTTAAGCAGTAATGACAAGCAGTGAGGACATCTGGCAGTTACTCATCTGTCCAATAATTAACTTTCAGGAAATGGCTTCCTTAACATTTTTACTGTTGCAAACCTAAGTACAACTCTGCTGATAGGGTCCATCATTTACATAGTATCAGTCTTTTCCTCACGTTTAAAAAGAGACATTGTCAACCTAAAAACAAGTTTCCTTCCCTGTTACTAATGCTATCTCAGAAACTTGAAAATCATTTCTAAGATTCCATTTACTTCTCCATTCATGGAATGTGTATATAAAAGTATTTATTCTTTGCACTGAACTGTGAAATCAGACTGATCAGTTTCACTTTCTGGTTCTCATGCTGCAGGGTCTGTATTGCAATCCAAGCAGGGGAAGATTTAAATCTAAATAACCTTTTCTTGTTGTAATGTTTTATGTCACAAACATTGCTTTGACATTAGGTGTTGTAAAATAGTTTGGGTATTCTATTTTACATTGGCATTTATTATAAAGTGCTATTGGATGCCAAAGCCAAAACTGTTACGTCTAGATTACTCCACAATGTCCCTTGACTAACAGTAGCCAATAGGAAAGGTTTGTTATTTTGCTGGAGGAAACATTTTAGGACAGATGATTAGAAAGAACTGGGGCTGAAGGGAAAAGTCTTAGCACCAAGACTGCTGACTAACAAAGGGAATATTCCTACTTTGGCTTCAGGTTTTCCTATCTGAAACAACTGTTATTCAATACCCAGCATTGTGAAATGTGCAAAGCTGTCATGGTTTTTGGCAGACCTATTCTTGTTGAAATGTTCAGTAATCCAAACCCCATCCTTTCTAATGGTTACCTAGCTGCTTAATGCCCGCTGGTGAACCTAGGGATACTGTTCTATCAAGTTCCAGATAAAGAGCTTGTTTAATTGTGGTGAGATCAAAACCTTCCAGCCAAGAGGATTCATCATATTGGGAAGGGGTAGCAACAGTAAAACTATTGACCCAACCAAATATAGCTAAGGCACTAAACTGAGCTGTAAACCTCTAGATCATCATCTAATAAGGTTATAGTGACCACTAAAAGGATCTGTGGAGTCCTACTGACATCTCAGTGGTCATTACAAATCCAAACTGGACACTTACTAGATCTAGTTCCCTTCTTGCTGGGATAATGACTCTGTAAAGTAATTCAGTTCCTGAAGTAGTATTTCATGCAACAGCAGCTACTTATGACTCACAAGCAGCATCTCACAGAGAGAAATAGGTGAACAGAACATGGGAAGCCAGACATACAAACTCCACCTGAGGTGACACCACAAATTTTAAGGGAATTAAGGTTGGAATCAAAATTAGGGGCTTTACTTCTATTTTAAAATATACTGCTGAAAACAAAACTTCAGGTCTTTTAAAGTGAAAGTTGCAACAGGCATAAAATCCCAACCAACACAAACTGGCCCACAGGCCACTTTGTGCTGTTCCCTCAATGTCTTCTACTCCCTTCTTATGAGGCTTGTCAACCTAGGAAAATTGCACCTGTATAAACTAGGGTGTGGATTTAAAAACCGATATACCAATATAACTCCCCCTGGATGTCACTATTATTCTGGTGTAAGGGCTTGTCTACATAACCTCCAGTTTGGAATATGGGGTGTGAATTGCAGTAGTCACTAGCATGACAAGCTGTAACTCCCCTGCACAGACCATGTGGGCGAGAACTAAAAGGTACCTAGTCTGTGTTTTAACCAGGAGTAAGTCAACAAGAACTAGGTACTCTATAGTTCATGCCTGCAGCATCCAAACAGGGGAGTTACAGCATGTACAGCAAAGGGGTGCCTTTTTTGGTTTAGTATATGTCAGGTGGGAAGGAGTTATACCAGTATATATATTTATATATAAACAACATTATACCTATTCCCAATGGGGAGATCAAAAACTCGGTACACAGACTGGATATCAACTGACCTTAGACCAATTCGCAGGACAACCAGGCGTACAGTCATGAGTTTTGGAAGAAGGCTATAAAAGCTGCTGACCCTGATTGGGGAAGTGGCAAGGAAGAAGAAGATACATCATTATACCAGTATAACTGGTAAAACTTTCCTGTGTAGACAAGCCCTGAGATAGCAAGGAAACAGAAATGGATGTATGTCTCTCAGTGCTTCAGAGAACAGGAGTCTTGTTCATTTTAGTTACCAGTTAGCTGTGTGCATGATACCATAATGTCCATCTGACACGGTATTCCATAATTCAAAGGATGCTTCTTGCACCGGAGGAAAATTGGAAGTATTGCGTTACTACCCTAATGGGCCCTTGCTCTAGAATGCACTAGGTCGATAAAGCAAAAGTATACCTCTGTGACAGAATAAGTGGTTTTGCACGGCAGAAGCCAAAATGGTTCTTTTGCTTGGTTTGCTTTTTTGCATGCACACCCACATCACTAGCTATAGTATCTGGTATGTGCCAAATCTGGGGATATTGTTTGCTTACTGGTGAAATGCTGCTGACAGTGCACATTTGGCATGTCTCAAAAAACAAGGGGCTATTTTTGTTGGTGTTAATTTTTCTGCCATGGAGCAATGGATTTAAAAATATTTACCTAGGTACAATTAGGGGACATACTCCCCCAACAAATTTAGGATGAGCAAGACTGAAGATGGGAATATAATACAGTTTATGATATTTCACTGTTGATAATCTTGATTTGGAAGGTGGCACCCACAGACAGGCAGGGAGGGAGATATTTTCAGTATTGAGGGGTTAGGCACTCAACGTTTTCATCAACAAATAAATTGCCACCGTTCGATAAAATGCATTGTGTACAGTCATCTACATTGCCTACATTTAATAACAGCACCCCAGATACTCTTTTCATGTGAGGGGAAGGAGGAGGAGTACATTCAAACTGGAAAAAAAGCCCAAAGCTCTGAGAGGACTAGCTAATGGTGTATCTAATGATAACTTATCACACCTACTTTTTTAATATTGCTTCATTTTAAAAATGCCTTTGGATTAAAAGTGATTTCTATGCCCTTTCATCAAAAAGATACATGAATTTCTATCTAATCGACTTATTTGTTTCTCAAACAGAGACAACATGGACTGGATGCGATTCTTGAGACTGATGTTCTTTGCTGGGAAGAGGACTTTACCTATAGATAATCTAGTGCTTTGATATTGTGAAATTTGAGCTGGAGTATGCTTAACTCTCACACCATGGGAAGGGCTGGGTATTTAAGTACTTTACGGGTCAGCCTGTTACACATTCTTGTTGCTGAGATGATGGTGCTGTAATACCTGTTCAATTCTGATTGATTAATTTGGCAGACACTGTGAATATTAATGCTCTTGAGAGTGAAGGATTGATATCACTAGCTGCAACCTGGCATTAGGTAGGCCAGCTCTGGGTAATCTCCTCACACACAGCTTTGCCAGTAACCTCATTCATGACAGTAGCCCCCACTATGCCAGTCCTATGATCCCCACCTACTTCTGCCAGTGCTCCTCATTCTTGACTTGTGACTTCTACTGCTAGAATCCTGGGTCTCTGAGTAAAATGTGGAGATCAGGCCAAAGGATTTGATGTTTTGAAACTTGAAGAAATGTCCTCAGGGGACAATGATGCAGCCAACCCAACCCTTGGGTCCCATGCCTTACACTTAGCTAGATATATGATCTTTTCCATACATTAGCTTATTGTGGAGGTCTTCATTAGCCATGGCAAGCTTCCTGGCAAACAATATTTCAGCAGGTGTCATTTAGTGCATTTAACTTGTGTAATGTATTGTCCTGTTTGATGGTTGGAAACTGTGGGGGAGACACCTCAGTACTAAGACTGTAATGCCTCATAAAGCAAGTTTCTGACATGTAGTTCAATTCATATTAGAGATCTCTGCTTTAAATGGTCTCCTAGAGTTGCTGATAGTCACTAGTTGCTTTTTATTACTTGAGTTCTTGAAGATGATGACTACTATAGTTGCCTTTCCAATCTCCCAGAAGTAGTTGAGAACCATGGTGTTGCCTTCCCATGGACAATGTTATTGTAACTGATGAGTTGGAAAGGGGATGGTATGCAACCAAAAAACCCCAGCCACTATTGCACAACCCACTTTGGCTTCCAGAAACTTAGAGTCAGGGGGAAACTGATAGGCAACCATTTGAAAGGCTGTTATAAAACTAATGCCTCCCACTTCCCAATCATCTGAATGATCAAAAGACTGAGCCAACCCTGAACTGATGCTCCAAACCTCAAAGTTCTGTGCCAGATAGCATAAAGGCTTAAATCTTCTTGATCTCTCAGTTCTTTTAATTCTTCTTGTTCGTCTCTTTTGCTATGGAAAGACCAAGGGGCTAAAGTTTGGCTGGAAGTTCTGTCATCAATATAGAGCAGAGCTTAGGCTAACCAGGGATAGGGACTGATAGGAGGTGTGGTTAATGAATCTGCAGTACAAGTCAAACATTGTCTCCTAAAAGATTGAAAAAATAATTTTTAAACAAAATAATGTGACATATTTACATGATTCCTTAAGTGCAAACTCTTGTCACAATTCACATAGTTGAGCTCGCTTAGACTCACTATACAACAAGGTGCTCTTTCTTCAATGAACGAAGAACGCTACTCTGTATTCCTGATTCAGTAATGTGTCTCTTGTGCAAGGCAGTAAAACCCCTCTTTCTTCCTGCGAAGAATTTCAAAAGGAGGCACAAAACCAAGCCATCCTTCTCCTCATCTCATATGTCTCAGTTACCGTACTACAAGGCAGGAGACACAGAGCTTAGAGGGGCCAATGCAGTCGTCATGGCAGAAGGCACCACAACCCTTGCACATGATCATGGCTTTCAACCTGCAGTAGCATTTAGAAGGTGAATCCTCCATGTTGTTGTCATCACCAAAGGCTTGAACTGGGATGGTCTGATTGTGGTTGCCAGGGTTCATAGCCTGGCTGGCGGGAATGGTGGTTACAGTCACAGAGAAAGACATGACGTTCCCCATGCTACTGGCCAACTGATTGCACTCGGACAGCCCAGTCATGAGAGACCCTTGGTTTACGTCTGGAGAGGTGGAGACATTTATAGTGCCACTATAACTAGGACCAATGAGCTGTGCTGCAGTGTTTCCATATAGCTTTGAAGGGTGTGAATGGGAAAGTAGTGGAGGTTGCTGCAACACAGGGTCTGCAGATGGTGCAGAAGCGCTGTAAGCCTCAGGATTGCGGTGCATCATTTTTCCCCTCATAGCATGAGCCATTTGCTCCTGGGCTGCCTGAATTAAATCTCTTGCTAATGCAGTTCCATCAAACACCTGGCCTCCTGGGAACTGGTGAACACTCTCTGGGCGGGCTGCTGCTTGCTGAGATAAGACTGCCTCCTTCTTTACATTCTTTCTAACAGGCACATTGCAATCTGAAGAAGCGTTTACGCTTTGTGATACCTGTTCTCTTTCATGCTGGCCAGAGACCTGGGAAACCAGGGGTTCCTCTTTTACAATGATATGTTCATGTTCATCACCAGTACTCTCATCATCTGCATCTTCTTCAGCACTGCTACTACCATTGCCAGCTATTTCTTCACATTCCCCACATTCTATTTTTGGATCATTAGAAGGATCATGCAGACACAAGCGGTTCTCAGGATTCATGGACAGACCTCTCCTGAAACTCTCCGAGCCGCGACCATAGGTGGAAATATTCAGCAGGTAATGGCCAGACATAGCAGGCTTGGATGTCCTCCTGCCCATGAAACCCAGCATGAATCTCTGACTGGTGGAGCTGTTGTCTAACTGGAAACCTGAGTGAACGAGGCTGAGCTGTGAAGGCTGCAGGACTGAAAACAGATTCTGCCTCTGAACCCGCTTGATAAGAGTCTGAAGGATCTGCTCTTGAGTGGCTTTGTCGAGTGCCTCTTGGCACTGGTATTGGTCAATACTAGTGCTCCTCAAGTCCTTTCCGGAGAAGAGGGGAAATGTCCTTGGAACATGGGGCAGCTGCCTGCTTGGGAAAAATATCTTTCCAAGTTGTTGCATGGCTAAATTTGATTGTCTCTCGCCACTTTCCCCTCCAGAGCCATTCCCAGCTGTGCTTGTGGCACTGGAAAATGCCGACTCTTTTGATTCATTTGGAGCTAGTGGGACAGTTTTCATTTCTACTTTGGTGAGAGGCTTAGGCATGATTAGTTCCATTGGGACATCTTTACCTTGGAGCAGCTGGGTGACCAAAGGATTGTTAGCAGGAATACTGGAGCTCGTCTTCAGGAGGGGCCCACTTGTGCTCAAGGGAGCTAGATGTACTTTAAGGCTAGGGGCTACTGACAAAGTGCTATAGGATGGAGTAGATATAGTAGATGCTACCACAACACCAGCCTGAGTTTCTGAGGTTACCGCTGTCAGCGAAGACATCAGAGGGGAAAGAGGTTTGCTCTTAGGAATACTTAAGCTGGTCTCTTCTGTGGTAGTAAGTGCTGACTTAGTCACATTTTTGTCAGTACCTGCTCTGGATACATTGACATAGACTGCTTCATCCCTGACAGGCGGTGCCCCTGAGATCTGGCTTAGACCTGCTGGAGCTGAAGGTGCTCTCTCTTGTCTGTCATTACTGAGAGTATATATGTGGCTTGAGACCACAGATGGTCTGGAAACCTGACTTACAGTCACATTGGGAGGGCTCACTTTTATTCTGTTCATTTTCTCTAATGCTGGTGGGGCTGGTGATGACGAATCTTTGCCTCCGTTGCTGGTTGCAGTTCTGGATTGTACTGTGGGCGTTTGCTGTAGTTGTGCTCTAGAGACACTGAGAGGTGATGTCCACTCCGTGGCCTGGGTCTCCGCTTGGGAATGGGACGCTGGACAATGGGGAAAAGGCCTTCTCGTACTTCCCCCGCTTCCAGTTCCTGCCAGTTCCAGTGCACTGCCTTTAATTCCAGTTTCATTGGTTCCACTTGCTGCTGTACCACTCTTCTCCGCTCTTCCTCCCCCGCCTGGACCACCACCACCTCCTGGGCCGGGCCCTGGGACGGCTCCCCCATTGGAGGCGGCGGCAGCGGCGGCGGCTGCAGCAGCTGCCCTCTGGGCCTTGGCCAGCTGGGCTTTTGCTTTGATGTCTGCCAAAGTTCTGGCCCCTGTTCTTCCAGGACTGGTGACAGAGGTTGGAAAGCAAGCCCTGGGAGAGACCTGGCTAGCAAGAAATGGCATCGGGGAGATTCTGGAGACAGGAATCTGGAAAAAAGTAGGAAAGAGACACCACTGAGCGGAAGGAAATTTTCTATCCACAAATTCTAAACCTGCAGCATTCAGAAATCTATACATTAAGACAAATCCTTAGTAGTCTTCAGTTAAATTAAATGGAAAAAATGGCTGGTAAAGATTTTTTAAAAACAAACTATCTAATTTAATCCTGTGGTACCAACTTGTGAAGGGGCTTTCACAACTGTGCCACTCTATTGACCTGAAATACCCTCTGACAAGAGTGCATGTGTTAGAGAGCTTTATTTAACCTAATCAGCAGGCCAGCAGACTCCCGTGGCCACATAGCAGGTCTTGGTATTCCTGTATCAACTACTTTCATTACTATAACATGAAAGTAGTGGGATTTACATGGACAGTTGAAATCAAAATAGACACAAAACATTTTTGTAAGAGTTACCAGTGGAAGTGGCCTGTACAACCCCATGATGGACTTGGCTCCAGTTTCCTTTACCTTGAGTGGGGGAACCTTTCGCCCCTGTGCCCCCTCCCCAGCCACAGGAAAGGACTGTGGTTGGGTCCGAAATGACTGCTGGTACTGGCAGTTGTCCATGATTCGTGGCTTTTTTTCAGGACTGATCGGTGCTTCTTCCTGACTCTCTGACTTCCTCTTGAGGCCCTCAGCACTGACATCCATTTGTTCAGTTGCAGGGGGTTCCTTTTTAGGTGTCTGCTGGGGAGTCACTTGACTCGCCATGCTTGCCACTGCTTCGCCTGCTTTGGGGCTCTTTGGTTTGTTTGGGGCCAAGGCTGAGGTGCTTGTGTTCCCCTTTACTGACAGATCCTTGGATGGAGTGTGCTGTCTTTCTTCTTCTGGTTTCTGACAAGAGGCAGCTTGTGGCTTCGCTTGCATGGATCCCTCAGTACCCTTCAGAGGCCTAGAGAGAGTTTGGTCATTAAGTTTCGGTGCATTGTTAGCTGAGGAATTTACAGATGCTGCAGGTTTGCCTATTTGGAGATGCACATCTTCTCTTCTTTCCGCTCCTCCTTTTTTCACTGCTGGTGGTGGTACCTGCACCGCCTGTGGTTTAGACTCTGACAGAGGAGTTCTCTCTTCTTTTCTGGGTGGTGCCTTGGAGACTAGCATGCATTTCATCTGTTCAGCTGGTGGATTCCTGGCCTGTGTGTCAGGCGTGCTGGTGTATGTTGTCAGTCTCTTGGATTCTTCAGGACTCATTCCAGAACTAACAAGAAAGAAGAAAAAATATGTGTTGTAAAACGTATGTCTGAAAAAAGCATTCTTTTGCCATGAAAATGGGGGCAGCGGGTTCTGTATCCATATGAGAACCTAAAGAAACACTTCACACATGTCATTTCCCCTGATTTTAAGACCACCATTTTTGATGCTCTTCATTGTAGCTATCACTCTTCCAACCCACACAGAACTTAATGGTCCTGCACCGGCGCTCTTTAAAAATCAACCAAAAGGGCCCTGTTACATGGCTCTCCTTCTACACAGATGCTAATTATCCCAGGTCACAAACTGAGAAGGATTTGACCAATGGTTAAACTGTATAGCAGTAGGAGACTCCAACAAACCCACAGGACTTCCCCCTGGCTCCCCTGGAGTTCACAAAAAGGATCTGGAAATGGATACAACCCCCCAGGAGAGTGCACCGTTTTTTTTCAGCATTTTGTGTAGTACTGAAGCACCCTCAGTCTAAAAAAGTTAATGAATAAACTTCCTCCAGGAGAGCACTTCTGTTTGCAGATGATTAAAGATCTCCACACCTAATATCTTTCTCAACCCTGTACCCTCATGAAACTGGGAGCTTCTCACTAGGCAGCCCCTAATCCCCCACCAGCCTGGGTAACAAATGAACAAGCTGGAAATCTGAACGTGAATTCCCAGAAAAACAGCTGATGCAGCATTCATCCCCAGCACACAAACTTGGTCAGTGGCATGAATAAAAAGCCAAATGTCTACTGAAGCCAGAGAGCACCATGGGATTGATTCCTACCAGCCCAATGATAACGAACGTGATTTTAAACCCTTTCTCACGTTAGTTTCATAACCATTGTCTTTTTCAAGAGGATACTCTTGGCAGACAGAGATGTCATGTGGTACAACAGTATCCATTTCTGAGAAGTGCAGAAATCAGACCTGCAGCTCCCTCCAATCCTGCCCTTGTACAAGGAATCTCCATTAGTGTGTTGTCCCTACTGCAGGGGTATCATTTACTACAGGCCAAGAGGGGCAGTTGCCCTCCCCAGATCTTGGTCTGCTCCCCTCCCCCGACTTTTCATAGGTCTATATTCTTCATGATGTCTTCCACTTTTGGTTCACCTCATACTTTTCAGGATATATTATAATCACATAGAATGTTCTATATGCTGACAACCCCTCCCCCCCATAAGAATTTTTCTGAAATAATGCCCCTGCTGCAAGAACCTGGAGACACTGCAGGAAAGGACACTTGACTTTTTAGTGAAGTCCACTCTTGTCAAGTGTATTTTAAACAAGGGCTTAACCTTTCGGGCAGTTTCCCAAACGAAGACCTCATCTCTATCAGCCAGCGCCTGCTGCCCCACATCCGTCTGTGTCACTAACCCACCAGAACTTGGGTACTCTCATGATCATGAGAATAAGGTTTGGCGCAGCCCAAGCTCCATGTGGGTTAAAGCAGCACAGATGAATGGGGCAGAAGGCGAGGTGATGTCCCAGAGCTGAGCAGAGCTCCTCATCATTGAAGTTCTGTAGCGAGATGAACACTTTATTGATTATTTTTACAATATCAATCCTACCTCTGTTCTTTTAACTTTCTTATAGCATACAGCTACTGATCGAGAAACCTGAAATGTCCTGCAAACCCTCATCCCTAAGTGGGGAGGCAAGCTGCTTGTAACTAGGAATAAGTCAGACAGAAAAATCTGTGAAATCCACACCATACTTATTCTGAGAGTTCAGCTCAACAGCGTGTGAATCAAGACAATAGGGAATTCACAGGGTTCTGCATAGCTGCGGAACATGTGAAGGTCAAAAATCACAATCAAAGACAAAGTAAATATCAAATAAATTAGTTGGCTGGAATATGCCAAGAGAACCTTAAGAGATGGACCTTCCAAAACTGTGAGGATGGGGGTGGGGAAGAGAGCTGTGAAGCCTAGACTACATCCACCACTACAGCAGGCAAGAAACACTAAAGCTAGATTGGATAGAGCACTGGAAACCATGCTTTAGGGAACAACCCAGCACAGACCAGGAATTAACTAGATGACCTAATAGGTCTTTTCTGTGATTCCATTACAGCCAGATGGAGTTGACCCTCGATCAACCTAGAAGCCCAGTGAAAAAGAGGGTCCCATGAAAGAAAATGAGCTCCGAATTCTGGGAACTGGTGCCTCAGGACATGCCATGAGAGAAAAGACAATCCAGGTTCCTACCTTTGACCATAGTAACTCTCAAAGAATCGTTCCTTCCATAGCTCCACCTTCTTCTCCTTTTCAATCTCCTGCCGTATTCTCAGTTGCATTTCTGGGGTGAACTCACCTGCAGTACACAAAGAGGGATATCAGCAAGAAGGTCAATCAATAAGAAGAATTAGGCCAATTGCAATCATGAGAGACAGCCAGACTTCAGGATCCCTGTCATTTTTTAGATAAACCAGTGCATTGGGAACTAGTTCAGCAAGGTTTCTTTTACAGGCTATATATTATTACAGATGTAACACAATGGCCTTGACTTGCAACTATTAGTTTACTCGTACTGTCTTTCAAGAGGGGATGTAAAACCAAGGCCTTGTGGTCATTTAAGAATCCTATGGCAGTATTTGCAGTTAATAGGGATTAAGCCTCAAATGTCCTAACAAATTCCAGCTTGGGTACTTGCATTCTGCCTCTTTAAATTCCCCTTTCAATTTCAGCTATAAATAGGATTATTCTTTACTTCCTGTTCTAAACTATAGGGTAGTGTTGCTGGGTGCCATTAAACCACTTTTGTAGTCCAGAGGTGGCTGCACTCCATGCCTAGTGAAATATCAATAATGTTATTTAATTTTACAACTCTGCCTGTCATAAAAGTTAAAAATAAACTATCAAAACATGTCAAGTAAATCTAAAAACCTTCCCACATCAGAATATACCCCTCCCCATTATTCCTCCTCTGCCAATCAAATCCCCCCCCACAGGGGAAAAAAGGGCAGGGGGCTGGGAAAACAGCTGGGGTTTGCAGTGTTGTATGAAGCAAGACTTCGGCAGATCATGAGAAGGGAAGGAAATTCCTAAGCCAAGAACTCATAGACGCCAGCCCACTTCCATTTAAGCCACAGAGCTGTTAACTAAGGATCCATTGAGGATCCTAGCTGCCATGCTATTACACTATGAAAGCCACAGTTCTCTCAAATAGCCAAGACCCAATTCACTGAAGACTGTATAAATCAAAAATACTTTAACCTTCTTCTAGAAATCAGTTGGCAGCCATTGCAGATCACAGAGTAATGGGGTAGTGTGCTCTCTGTGTGGAAAATAAACAGTTGGTTGCCCTACAGTAGCGGTGGTTCTCTGATACGCTGCAGTCTGCGTGGCTCCCACTGTAGGTGCGCATGTGCCTCGCGTCAGGTAGGAATCTTTTCAAAGCCGCATGCGCACCCTGTGCCTCCTCATGCTCCTGTACAAGGGCATTAAAGGCAGAGCAACTGCAAGCCTTCCTCAGGCCCCTTGCAACTCAAAGCCTGGGATTTCTGAGTACTCCAAAAAGCAGGGAAGAAGGGTGGGTCATGTGATCCACCCCAAGTACAGCATCTCCAAGTATCACAGTTACTGTAGAGCACCGGTTCTCAAACTGCGGGTCAGGACCCCAGAGTGGGTCGTGACCCCATTTTAATGGGGTTGCCAGGGCTGGCTTAGACTTGCTGAGGCCTGGGGCCAGAGCCGAAGCCTGAGCCCCACTTCCCGGGTCCGAAGCTAAAGCTTGAGCCCCACCACCTGGGGCCAAAGCCAAAGCCTGAAGGGCTTCAGCCCTGGGCAGTGAGGCTCAGGTTACAGGTCCCCTGCCTGGGGCTGAAGCCCTTGGGCTTCGGGTTTGGCCTCCTCGGCCAGAGCAGTGAGGCTTGGGCTTTGGCCCCCGCACCTAGGGCGGTGGGGCTTGGGCAGGCTCAGGCTTCGGTCCCTGCTCCTGGGATCGTGTAGTAATGTTTGTTGTCAGAAGGGGGCTGCAGTGCAATGACGTTTGAGAGCCCCTGCTGTAGGGTAAGTAAGGGTTCTTTTTTCTTCAAGTGTGTGTCAGCGTGGATCCCACTGTAGGTGACTGGCAAGCAGTATTCTCTCGGGATGGGCGGAATGAGAAGTATTAACTGCATCAGTCAAACAGATTGAAATACTGCTTTCCCAAACTTGGCATCTGACCTAGCAGCTAAATCCTCAGACTGGCTGTTCTCTAAACCAATCAGATGAAGCTATAGGATGGTGGTACACAAAGCATGTTTCCACCACACTGTCATCCAGACAACGATGTATTGACATTCATAATTTTAGTACATCTCTGAAATAAAGCAATTGAGATAGAATAGTGCCTCACTTGCTTTGATAAACAACATCTTTGTATGCATTTAGAAGCAGTGGTCAGCATGCAGCCCAGGGGACAAATGACGCTCACATGTTTTGCAATGTGGCACATGGCTACCCTTTATTCTGTATAAAAGTGTGGCGCACAGAAACTGCCAGTTCCAATGACAGTGTGGCTTGGATGAAGATGGAATGTTTCACTCTGCTTACTTATAGCCTCTGCAGGTTCGCACCTGTGTATAAATGAAATTTATATGCAGGTTTTATAAGTGAACCATGTTTGGCCACCCCAGTTTAGTCCTTCTTTTCTAATGAGAACAGTGCATCTCCACTACCATCCCAGCACTGTATTTTTCCAGTATCTCTGCCTCATCTCACTCATTACCTCCAGAGACAGTCTTCTTGCCATGTGCTGCAAGTCACATTTTTTCAAAGGACAAGTCTCCAATAAAACCTCCTCTCTGCTCTTCAGTCTGGATAACCACCAGCTGGCACTTTGTCTTCACTGACCATTTTGAGTGCAGCTGTTTTCGCTTGTTAAATCACTATAGGACTGGAATTTCTCCCTGAAATCTCCATTATGCATTCACTAAACACCTTTTATTCAACATTTAGAGAGAATCTTTGATTATATTAATTAAAGAAACAGAATAAAATATTAAGATGAATGGAAAATGGGTGAACAACATTCACTATGTAGATGTCAAGGTGCTGTTGGCGGATTCAGAAAAATGCCTGATGAAGTTGGTGGTGATTATGTATGAATATGGCAAAGTATGGTCTAGAACTGAATGTGGATAAGACATGGTGGTATGCAAGAATCCTGGGAAAACATGCAAGATTCCAATGAATGACATGACTGTACAGCAAGTGAGATTATTGCTTTAGGAAGTATTATTATGGAAGATCAGAAACTGAAGTCAGTACCAAAACAGCAAGGGTGAGACACATTCTGGAAGAATAAACATCTGATGAGAAAAGACATAAATCTGAAGATTTAAGTCCAGCTCCTAAAAACTTACATTTGGCCTGTGTTAAATTACCTCTGTGAAACACGGACATGCACACAATTGATAATAAAGAAATTACAGTTCTTTGAATTATGGTGTTCTTGAAGAATTCTAAAAATATCATGGATAGGCTGCATAACCAACAAAAAGATATGGAGATGATTGGAACTCAAACACTAGTCAGAGATCTTATGAAAAGAAAGGCTTGATTTGCAGAGCACATTTTAAGGGGTTCAGCAGGCAATGCATGTTTATGGGCACTGGAAAGGAAAGCTGATGGCAGAAGAACACAAGGCAGAAAAAAGAAGACCTTGGGGGTGGACCATGTGGTATCCTGGGGAGATCGAAAGGATTATTTACCCACAAAAATATTAGAAAAGGATCACCTAACCCTTGAAGTCTTTAAACTACGATTTGAGGACTTCAATAGCACAGATATAGGTGTGAGGTTTTTTGCAGGAGTGGTGGGTGAAATTCTGTGGCTTGCGTTGTGCAGGAGGTCAGACTAGATGATCATAATGGTCCTTTCTGACCTAAATATCTATGAATCTATAACGAACGGGCTAGCAAGGCTGCAAACCTCCAGTAATGGAGATGCCACAATCGAAAAAACTCCTCAGAAGTTCACAGTTTACAGCTCCTTGCTTCCCAGTGGCGAGAGACTCACCTTCTGACAACCTCTCCTTCCAGCCCTGGGCAGCTGAAGTGAAGAACTCATTGTTGAGTGCGGAGCCACTCATCTTCATCAAACTGTCTGCCCCAACCTGAGAGAAACAATAAAGCAAGCAAACGTTAGCTCACTGAATTCAGATTTAAGTGACACGTAGAGGAGCAGAGTCTGGTCCGAAGATCACTGCTTGGACAGACAATGCCTCATGGCACTCCAAAGCTGCTCTTCTGATTGATCCAGGAGTAAAATTAATGGCCCCAGAAGGCCCTCCTTCACCTAAGTCTGGGTCCTGTAGAATCCTGGTGGATTTCTCTTGCCCTTCCATCTTCACCCCAATCCTCTACCCTCCCACTACCATGCCGCAGACACAATAAAAACCCTGGACAAATGAGAATCACAGGACCCTACAGGAGACAGGGAGAAACACAAGCTGATGCTTTATAAGTTGCACGACTCATAACAGAAAAGAAGCATTACAACTACCTCTCAAAAGGCTTCTGCAGGTACACGCCACCCTCCCTTCTAAATGATCACAGAGTAAACTCTGAGCTGCTGTCAAAAGCAGCAATGCTGGCAGTTTCCAGGGGAAAACCAAAAGGCGCACAAAGAGGACGTCAGGGACATCAAAAGCAGCATTTTAAGAGTCAGTCGCATTGTTTATTTGTACTTTCCTGTCTGTCTCCAAATATTGTTTCTTGTCTTAGACTTAGACTGTAAGCTCCTTGCAGCAAGGACCATCTTTGTGTTTTATGTTTCTAAAGCGCCTACCACAATGGCGGCCTGGCCCACTAGGGCTCCTAGGTGCTATGAAAATATATATATAATAAATAATAATAAAAGTGTCAAATGCACAGAATCACGTCCCTAGATATTGCAGACAGATCTGTGCCCAATGGGGGATCAGACAGTACAGCCTAGGAAATAATAATCAACCAAATAGAGCAGCTACGCTTCAGTGTGGTGTGCAAAAAGAGAAATAGTGTACTCTTGGCCAGTAGCTGTACACTTGCCACGTAGGGGAACGATAACAGGGGTAACAGGAGAAGGTCTGGCTTTCTTTCTGCTCGATGTATCATAGAATTACAAGTTTCATATATCAGAAACAAGCAAAAATCACGCAGTTCCATAAATCAGAGCAGCTCACCGGGGTCAATGGATGGTATCTTTTGTTTCTTATACAAGATGTAAACCTTGCTATTAGGCTCCTGGCACTCTAAATCTCCCAAGGCTCAAACAAAAGAGAGATTTAGAGCAAAGGGAAGAAGAATTATGTAGCAAGCTTTCAACAATGCAAGATTTGTTTCTTTAAGAGAAGCATTGTTTTCACTTAATATCAGCATTTGTGATGTAGATAATTAGTTTAAAATAATGGCAGTGACTATCAGTGGGTTTGCGTGGGACAGACTTACAGTGAGATCTACAATGAGGGGCAGTCGAGCAGCTGTGTTGTAATGATTTGGGAAAGCAGAGATCTTTCTCCTGCTCCAAGTACACGCTGCTCAACTGTAGGGAGCAGAATCCCTCACCCCAGCCATGGCATGGTCTATGTGCACTCTTGGTGTGGCTGGGTGTGGGGACATGCTTCTCTCAGCATCAGGTATCAGCAATTGCTGGAGGCCCGTTGGAGGGCTGGGTGGACCGTGGGTCATGTCTGGTAAAGCACACTTTTGGTATGTACCTTTCTGCTCTCTACAAGCCCATTAGGTAGTATTTTGATTTTCTGCACCAACACCCACACCATCCACTGGATCACAGCCAAACAAATGGAAGACAAGTGTGTGACCATGCAGGCTTTACCTATTCCCTTCTCCAGTTTTCTAGTTTAAGCAACTTTCCTTCTCCAGTTTATAGAGCCTGCAAATTCCCTGAGGAGCAAAATAGCACTGAGAGTGGTGGGTAGTTCTAAGAAAATTACCACAGTCTTATCTGAAATCTAAAATCCATCATCATGGGTCAGACAACATTTTTTCAACTACTCAGAACTCTTTCCCAATCAAATTCTGATTCAACACAGTGACTTGGCATGCAGGGTGAACTAGATTGCACAAGCTATAGCTTTGGTAAAACAAGATCACATTGCAGGAAGAAAAGGAATGCAGGGTAGGAAGAATCTCTGACTTTCTAACGGGGTTGCCAGCAGGAAAACATGCACTGTTTGCTAGGGCAGAAATTCTCACGAGTTTAAGAAAGCCCAGATTTTAATCCACAAAAAATCATCCCAGCAGCCTCCCTGCCTAATTTTTAGGTTAGTCTGCAGTTTACAGTGCAGGGCCCCAGTGGCTTTCTATGCAGAGAGATCTAAAGGGTATTCCCCACTGTAATCCCAGTGGTGTTGTGCTTTTGGAGCTGGAGAAACAGGAAGAAAAGACCTGCAAATAGGTTACTCTAGAAGTTAGAGGGATATTGATTGTAAGTACTGCTGGAGGAAGTTACAAAACAGCATTTAGCAGAGGCGCTTTCTGAGGTTATAGTGAAACTAGACAACCTTTCCAAGCTGTAACCAAAAGGGCTCACAGTTCCCATTTGAAGGAAGATAAAACAAGTTTACTAACAAACAAAGTTGGGGCGCTGTACCCTGGGCATTTTATTATACTAAGTTAGTAGTCAAGATAGTCTTGACTGGAGTCTCATGAGGCTTGGGATAGAACGTGGGAAGATGGATTGGTTGGTTCATATGAAAGGGTGATGTTACTTTCAGCAGAAATTTTCAGTGTGGTCATAGAGTGACCTTGTCTTTGAAGAATATTGTGTAGGGAGGATCGGCCATGAGAGCCCCATCTCACTCATTTTTCTGGCAGAAGTAATAGTGACCAGAAAGGCCACTTTCATGGATGAATGTAGGAGGGAACAGGTGGCTAGGGGTTCAAATGGTGGTCTGGTGAGGCATTTCAATAGCAGATTGAGGTCCCAGGCCGGAGTAGGTTGGCGAACCTCTGGGTAAATGTTGCGGAGACAATTTAGTAATGGTGTATGTGTCGATCGAGGTCCTGTCAATCTCATGATGGAATGCTGTGATGGCTGAGAGATGGACTTTGATTGGTGAGGCCTCATCTGGAGTACTGTGTCCAGTTTTGGGCCCCACACTACAAGAAGGATGTGGATAAATTGGAGAGAGTCCAGCGAAGGGCAACGAAAATGATTAGGGGTCTGGAACACATGACTTATGAGGAGAGGCTGAGGGAGCTGGGATTGTTTAGTCTGCAGAAGAGAAGAATGAGGGGGGATTTGATAGCTGCTTTCAACTACCTGAAAGGGGGTTCCAAAGAGGATGGCTCTAGACTGTTCTCAATGGTAGCAGATGACAGAACGAGGAGTAATGGTCTCAAGTTGCAGTGGGGGAGGTTTAGATTGGATATTAGGAAAAACTTTTTCACGAAGAGGGTGGTGAAACACTGGAATGCGTTACCTAGGGAGGTGGTAGAATCTCCTTCCTTAGAGGTTTTTAAGGTCAGGCTTGACAAAGCCCTGGCTGGGATGATTTAACTGGGAATTGGTCCTGCTTCGAGCAGGGGGTTGGACTAGATGAGCTTCTGGGGTCCCTTCCAACCCTGATATTCTATGATTCTATGATTCTATGATTGAGCTCTTTGCTAAACCTGAGCGTTTCAGTTCCAGTGGGTATTCCAACACTAATGGTATGGGTATTGTGGAGGCCGTCAATTTTTTTTCTTGACACCAGGAGGAAATCTCTTCCATTTTTGAAGGTAAGTATTACATGTGGTCACTTTCCTGCTGTTTAATAATACATGTTGAACTTGTTCCAAGCAGGGTAGTTCGCCATGATAGAACCATGCAGGAGCCATGCTTGAAGGTGGAGTTTCTCCGGATTCGGGTGGAGAGTGCAACCGTTGTTCTGAGATGACAGGTTCGGATAGTGAGAGAGATCATGTAAGGGTACCATGCTTGCCTGGGCCACATCAGGACCATGAGGATGACTTTGGTCTTGTCCAGTCATATCTTGTGTATCATGTGTGATATCAGGGGAATCGGTGGGAACGCGTACATGAGTTGTGCATCCCATGTGATGAGGAAGGCCTTCTCCAGTGATCGTGGTCCAAGTCCTGCTCTTGAGCAGAACATTGTGCATGTGTGGCTCATTGGGGGAAGCAAACAAGTCCATGAGGGGAGTGCCCCACCGGCAGAATATGAATAGTAGGACTCCTTTGTTCATTTCCCACTCGTGGACTCGAGAGAAGTACCTGTTTAGCATGTCCGCCGTCGCGTTCTGACAGCTGGGAAAACAGGAGGCTGAAACATGTTATGTTGTGGTGTATGCACCAGTTCCATGGTTTCATGGCTTCAGTGCAGAGCGAGTGAGATCGAATGCCCCCTTCATGACTGATGTAAAACATGCAGGTGATGTTGTCAGTCATTATGCAAATTGATTCGTTCTTTATGTGAGGTAGGAAGTGTCTGCAAGCGTTGTGGACCGCACGTAGCTCTAGTAGGTTGATGTGTAACCGAGTCTCCAAAACAGACCATTTGTTTTGGACATTTGCTGACACATGTGGGCACCCCAGCCTATCAGCAAGGCATCCGTCATGATTACTATTGATGGGGTTCCTGTTGGAATGGGATACCCATGCATACATTTTCTGGTCTTGTCCACCAGTGTACAGTCCAGGACCTTGGGTGGTACTGTAAGTCCTTTGTGAGGCTGTGCTTGCTGGATATATATGCCAAGCTCAACCAGTCCTGTAGGCAGCGCATATGTAGTCTTGCGTGTCGAACCATGAACGTTGTGGCTGCCATGTGTCCTAGCAGTTGCAGGACAGTCCGAGCCGGTATTTGGAGGCTGACTCTTACCTCTGATGTAAGGTTTGTCAGAGTTGAGAATCTGTTCAAGGGCAGGGATGCCTTGGCTTCTATGGCATGGAGATGTGCCCCGATGAAGTCCAGTTGTTGGATAGTGATTAGAGTGGATTTTCGTTTGTTTATCTGTAGCCCTAGATCCCTGAATAGTGTGATTGTTGTTTGGACTGTGCCCGGTGCTTCTTGTTGAGTTGGACTTTTGAGAAGTGTGACAGAGCTCTGTCCTTGCCTCCGTGGGTCCCGCGTTTCCTGGCGGATTTTGCTAGCCTCAGAGGCTCACTGTGACCCTCCACGTAACCCTTCTTTCTCTAGAGACAAGGGTCACAGTCTACTGAGCCATTTTCACCATAAGCCAGCAAGGGAGGTGAGAAGTAATCCTTCCATGCACAGTCTCTGTTGTCTCCTAGTCTCAGTGATTAATCAGGGGGCAAAGGTGGGGGGAGGGGGAGCACGGGCCCACCCTCTACTCCGGGCTCCAGCCCAGGGACCCTAATAGTATCAGCTATGGTAGCTGACCTTTTAGAAACATGACATGTACAATTCCCTGGGCTACTTCCCCCACAGCAGCCCTCACTTCCTCAAGCTCCACTTCACCATTACCTCAGGGCCTCCTTCTTTGTGCCTGATATGGTGTGTACTACTCAGTCTCCCCAACTGCACAACTTCCTCCTACAGCTCCTGACATGCGCGCCCACCTGACTGCCTGGGAGGCTTTTAACTAGTTTCAGCCAGCCCCTGATTGGCTTCAGGTGTCCCAATCAACCTAGCCTTCTCCCTGCCTTCTGGAAAGTTCTTAATTGGCCCCAGGTGTCTTAACTGACCTGGAGCAGCTTTCATTTCACTTAACCTGGTACCAGGGATTTGTTTAGCCTGGAGCTAATATAACTATCTCCCACTACTTTTGTATAGCCATCTGGCCTTGCCCCGTCACAGAAGGCAATCGTCCAGGTAAGGGAAGATCATTATTCCCTGTTTGCATAGATGTGCCACTACTACCACTAGGGTTTTGAGAAAACTCTTGGTGCGGTGGATAGGCTGAATGGTCGGACTCTGTATTGGAAATGTTTGTGTCCTACAGAGAAATGCAGGAATTTCCTGCGAGCGGGGTGTATAGTAATATGAAAATAAGCATTGTGGAGGTCGAGGGCTGACAACCTTTTGCAGTATCATACCCTGTGTGACCATCTTGAACTTTTGAGCGAGAACGAACTTGTTGAGCTTCCTGAGGTCCATGATAGGTCTCCATCCCCCGTTCTTTTTCTGGGTCAAGAAGTAGTGGGAGTAAAACCCCTTCCCCTTGTATTGCGAAGGCAATCGTTCCATGGCACCTAGTTGTAGACGATGATTGACTTCTTGTCGTAACTGGTGCTCATGAGAAGGGTACCTGAAGAGGGATGGGGAGGGGGATAGGGTAGGTGGTCGGGAGGTAAAGGATATGGTATATTCCAATCATATGATGTCTAACCCTCATTGGTCCATGGTTATTGACACCCAGATATGGTAGAATGGGCAAAAGCCATGACCAATCATGGGGATGGATCGGGTATAAGTGCTGCCTGGTGAGGGAGGTTGCTCAGACCCTCGACCAAAACTTCAAAATTGTTGTTTGGGCGAAGCCCTTTGAGAAGTTGACGCTTGAGACTGAGGTGCTCTCCATTGCTGTGAATGTTGGTGTTTTTTTTGATTCTCATATTGCCTCTGTTGCTGTTGGTAGGAAGAGAAATCCTTGTTCCTCTGATGAGACTGGTATCGTCTTCTCTTCGCAGGTAGAGTGTAGATCCCCAAAGTGTAAAGAGTAGCTTGAGGGTGTTTCATCGAGTGGAGCACCTGGGCCGTCTTGGTCAAAAATAGCTTCTCTTGGTCAAAAGATAGGTCCTTGACCTTCGTTTGGAGTTCTTTAGGTATGCCAGAGGATTGTAACCAGGATGCCCATCGCATGACTACAGCCGTGGTTCTCACTGTTGTGTCCACGACATCCAAAGACCCTTGGAAGGTGGTTTAACTATGAGTTGACCTTAATTTATAATGGCCTGAAATTGTGATGGTTTCTCCTCGAGGAGCTCTGCTGTGAACGAGCTAAGTTTTCCATAATTATCATAATCTTATTTAGCCAGCAAGGCCGAATAGTTGGGTGATTCAGAACTGTAATGTCGCCAAGGAGTAAATTTTTCATCTGAATAGGTCAAGCCTGTTGTGGAGTGAATCTAAACTGTTGTTGTTTGCTGTGTTGATTAGCGGTGTCGACCACCAAGGAGTTGGGAGGCGGGTGTGAGAAGAGGAAGTCCACCCCTTTGGCAGGGACATAATACTTCCTATCCACCCTTCTGCATGTCGTTGGAATTGAGGCTGGTGACTGCTAGACTCTTTCTGCTGGCTCCAAAATCCCATCATTGATGGACAGAGCAATTTTGGAAGTAGATGAAGGTTGTAAAATTTGTGCCAGCTTGTGCTGGTTTGTCTGCACTTCCTCCAGTGGGATGTCCTGGCTGCAGGCAACCCTCTTAAACAGTTCCTGGAAGTCATCCACTGAGGTAGGCGGTGGCGGCATGATTGCCTTAACCGGGAAGCAGGAAGAATTGTGAGCAGATGTCGCTTCCTGATCAGTGCCTGTTACTGTGTCATCCCCAACATCCTGAGCCTTCGTTGGCTGTGGGGCGGGAGACGTGGGATTAGATCTCAGCTCGTCTCTATGAGCTGTGGGTGGCCTGGAGTGGGGGCCCCGGTAAGTTGCCATGGGGTCCCAATGTGCCCATTGGATTGGGAAGGCCATTGGTGGATACATCCACAGTGGTCTGTACCACGGTTGAGCTGCCTGGTTGTAAGGGTATTTGGGTCCCATCTGGCTCCAGGATGGTCCTTCTTTCGGTGATGAGTGGTGCGGTGAGAAAGTGCATAGTTCCTGCACATCATGATCATCATCTTCACTGGATGAATGTACTGTGTCATGAGAAGTATGGGGATCTCCTCTACAACTTACAGCTCTAGCTGTAACCATATCATGGGTTCTCTCAATCTAGGGCTGTCAGGGTATTGAAACCGCCCTGCCCTTCTCATATGGCTAGAAGGAAGGAAGGATCCTGGAATGGGAATGGGGGCCTCAGTATGAAAAATGTTGAGAACTCATGCTCTACAGCGCTGAAATCCTGCCTTTCCTCTCCATTCTGCCACAAAAGCTTTATCCATTCGTGGATCAAAGCTCACCTCACTTATTCCTCTGTGGACTCTTCATCTTATCTGAGCCCCCTTCAATCTTTAGAGAATGCTGCTGCTAATGATCATGTTTTTGCTTCTCAGACCATGTTGCTCCACTGTCCATCAGTTCAAGCTTTTTGTTATTTGTTTATAACGTACCTAGCGAGATGGGGTTCAGGCCTCTACATGCTGCCATCATAAAAACACTAAATAATAATATTCATCTTCACCATCAAGGTTCTGTGGAACTTTGCTTGTGTTTATATTGCTGCCTTCATTTCCACCTATTCCTCCAACTGCCTATGGACCTGCTAAACCGCCTTCCTTTATGCCTTCTTTGTATCCTTTTCCCACTCATCTTCATAATTTCTTAACCTGCTACTCCATATATATATATGGGCCTACCTCCCTCTTCTTATGCATTGAATTATTCTCTTCACTTTTCAGATCCTTTCTTAAAACACAGAATTCTTTCACTGGTAATCCACAAAATGTCCGAAATCTGCACCACATGTTCTGTAGCTCTAAATTGTGTGTTCTGTGTTCCAATTTAGAACAGAGACTTTGTGTAGTAGGGACAGCATCTTCCTCTGTGTTGACAAATAATTCATTAACACCTTCTCCCTTCTATGTAAAGCATTGTGCATCTATGCAAGACTAGAGTGCTATCCAGCCTATAACAGTGCTAACATGACAGCTATGGAGACATCCACAAACCATCAGGGGACTGAGCTAAAGTATAACAATTGTTTTAGAGACAATCTAGTAAGGCATCTCTGCTAAAAGGGTATGGGGATAAGACCGCATTTAAAGACTTTGGAAAAAAAAGCTGGCATTCAACACTCCCTGCACCTAGCATGACCACTCCACTACAGCAGAATCCACTGAGCTCACTACTGTTAGGAATGTAGGATTCACTATACTGGATAAAACTATAGGCCCATCACCTCTGGTATCCATCAATACTCAATGGTTCCCTGAAAGCAACACTCCATGTTTCTTTCCAAATAGTGTTGTATGTGGATGAAAAAAATGCCATCCCAGTTTCCAGCAAGCACCAGTTTATTTTCTGAAACTTGAGATTTGATTGCCCTTATCTCAGTGAATTGGCAATTGCTGTGTATGAAACCAACAATCCCTGGTTTCTGCATGTTGTTACCTGGAAACATAGCTCCTCTCTACAACAGAATATGTGGCATACCTGCCTGTCCACCTCTGGGAGCAGCAGCAGCAGCCGTTGCTGACAGTCTGTGGGTAAGACAGAGAATGTGTGCTTGTTGATCAGCGCCCGCAGATTTGTGTTCACTAAGATGGAGTCAGGTGTTTCCACATCAATTTCAGCACATTTCGTCCTCTTCAGCTGCCCTGTAAAGAACCACAGAGGTCTGTGTAACACATCACCTGAGGCAAGAATAAGGGCTCCCCGACCTCTGAGCAGCTCTTCACTTAGCTCATGGTTACATGAAGATATTAATAATGCTGTTCTGATGGCTCATTTTCCAACCCTGGAAGGGAGGGAGCAGTAAGCTCCCTGGCCAAGTCAGAAACAGAGCGGATGAAGATCCACCCTTCTGCCATAAGGATTAGCATTACATGGAATCGTGGGAGTTGGAGCGTGATGGGATGATTAAAAACATAATGTGAGGATTCTTGGGGCTAGGAAGGTCTCTCATCTCCCAAGGAAAATATTAACCCCGAATATTCTGCTTTGTCTGAGTTTGCCTAACTTTGCCGGGATTCCTGGCTGCCCATGGTAACGAGATACCAGAACCTCCCCTGTGCTGGGGTAGGAGTCTCTCAAGAGGGTTTTTTTTAGCAAGTGTACTTTAATCTTCTATTTTAATCCTGTGGCCAGGGGCAGCTTCTTCCTTTGGATTTCTTGCTGGTTTGTTTGTATTTTGTACTCAGCAAAAGCAGAAGTGATTTCGAAAAGATCAGTGCCATGTTCACAGGTTTCAGCAGCCAGCTCTGCTTGTGCTGAGACCACAATGCGAAACAAAGCAGTAATAATGAAAAAATATTCTCTCTTCTTCCCTTTTCTCACATGGTAAAGGTCCTGACCAGGAGTCCTGCAGTTCTAGCACCAATCCCCAGGCTACAGAAAGATTCACACGAGCACTGTAATTTCAGAAACAGCCTGACCGGAGAGAGCATCTGTACAGTGTATGCGCTTTCCTTTGGACTTGCCCGTTACACATTGTTGGCAACATGCCATTATGTTCTGTGAACTTCAAGTAAAAATGTATCATTAATAAAAAGCCTAATGAAGACTGTCATTGCATGTTCTGCCAGAGCGTGGGGATGATGCTTTTAAGGTAATTGCTCCCCACAGCGCCACTCCCATGGAAGCTTGTTTCATTTGGGAAAGGTGACTCGCACACTCAGAGGTCATTTAGAAAATGCCTCTGTAGATGTTGCTGTCTGTTTGGTTGGCGTTATTTCCCTGACCGCCGGATGGAGCTGGGTCTGGAATACAGAGCAGCTCTCTCCAGCTCGCTACACTGCGCCCCTCTCTCTGGCACAGGCACATACCCGAGGAGCTTGGCCACAAACAAGAAATGAACACGGCTCTGCCTTATTCTTTTTTCCTCAAATTTTAAATGAAGTGAATTTTAATGCTGGGATGGTGCAGTAGCTCTGGGGACGCTTGGTCCTTATGCCCAGAACAGGAACAGCAAAAGCAATCTTCCCTCATGTGGGCCCACCCACATATCTCAGCCCTGACCTGGAGCGCTTCAGTCTCCGTGGCATCCCTGCCCGTTGTGGGCATCCAGGCTGAGGCAAAGAAGGGGGTCAACCTGTGCACTGGGAGCAGGGCTGCACCCTCCTGTGTGAGGGTGGCAATGTTTGAGTGACTGACAAAGCAGCACGGATGGTAGAGCCCTGCGCAGATACAAAATTTGTATCTGCGTATATGGTCCGCAGATATAAAGCGATATCCACAGATTTGCAGGGCTCTACTGATGGCCTCTTGACATTATCAGACAATGTGTGGGTTGCCACACTGCAAGATCTTAAGAGGACATGGAGAAATTGCAAAGGACCCTGAATGGGATATGGATGGAACCTTTCACCTCAAGGCCACTAATTCAGATCAAATCCAGCAAAAACTGTTACCAGAGGATGGATTTTTGGGCCCATATGAAGTGAGGGGGCTGAACACATGGTTTCCCCCTACTCCCCTGGCCTACAGAGACAAGAGTGAGATTTCATTTAAACTCCAAGCATCTGCAAAACAAACCACAAGCAACAAAGGGGTATTGAGAAACATGTAACTTTAAAAACCTGGCAGGAAACCAAGTAGCACTCTTGGGCTTGAAGGATGGGGTTTATTTTTGTTTCTTTTTTAAGGTAACAGAAACACCTTAAGTGCTAGAAGGAAAAGGCTGCTAAATAATGCAAGTCCTTTTCTGCCTCTGTTGCACAGAGGACTGTGAACACACGAGCCAGCAAAGCTTCCCGATGAGAAGAGCTGGGCATGGACATGTTTGTGTGTATAGAGTTTCTGAGTTGGGTGGTGGTTTCATTTTCCCTAATTCATGCTGAAGAGCAGGAGTGGCTTCCAGGATTGGCCAGAAACCTCTCCAACCCTGGAACTAGCTGCAGCTTTTACTTAATTTTCCGCTCCGCTTTTTACTCTGGCATCAGAGCAACAAAACCCTCTTTGTGCAGAAAAATAAATATCTTACTTGCATGGAGTCTGTCAGATCTCTGGAATGGTTTCTTCCCCAAGCCTGGCAGGGAATTATCAGCCTTAACAGAGGGAGAGGAGCTGGAGGTGGAGTTCTGAGGGCTGCTTGATTGTCCATCTGATTGCCTTCCTTCCCAAGCTGTACAGGAAACTGAAACATGTTAACATTGGGGATCTACAAACAATGAAGTGTTAAACAAGACATCTGTTTGAATGGGTGTAATAGAGCATTCTTTCGTATGGGTACCCTAATGCACAGCAGTGCCAGGACAAGAAGTTCTACAGGATGGACACTGAGCCCTGGTTACACTATACATTTAAGTCTGTATAACTATGTCACTCACAGATGTGGAAAATCCACGCCTGAGCAACACAGTTATACCAGCCTAACTCCTGGCGTAGACAGTGCTATGTCGACGGGACAGATACCTACGCCGATGGGAGCAGCTCTGCCATCTGCATAGGTAGCGTCTTCACTGAGCGCTACAGGTGTGCAGCTGCAGTGCTGTAAGTGTAGACAAGCCCTTAATTCTGCTCCTCTCCTTGCACGGATTTTCCAGCGTTCTTGCCTTATCGGGAGCTCTCAAATCATCATAGAAGATAGAGATGGAAAACAGTCTCCCGGATCATCTAAATCTATTCCCCATCAATGCAGACAGTTTATTCTTCATGAATCTCCCAGTCCAGTGATGGGACTATGAGAACTTCCTTTCAGACGCTGCTCTCCTATCTGATGGAGCTCATTGCTAACGGCGCTCCTTAGGCCACCCCCAATAATTCTTTTCCCTCCTTAGTGGTTATGCCCTTCATGTACTTCAGATTATTAACATGCTCTTCCCCCTAAATTAGTCAGATTTCACGCTTTTAAAATCTCCTCTTAAAACAATCCCTCCCACTCCCCGATCATTTGTGCTGCTCTCCGTTTTTCAATGTTCCTCTTTCTACAGCAGTAACATTTTTTCTGCTCACAGAAAAAGATTCCTGCTCCGGTCTAAGTGCATTTTCTTTTCCCCTTCTCTTCCTCAATAAGCTGAATTAAGAACATTAGCGAGTGTTTTCCCACTGCCTTAGATGAATATACAGTAACAGGCCTGCACTCCACATAGCCAAAGGTGCTCCCATCCCTCGGCAATAGAAGAGGAACTCAGGAGTACACACGGTTAAGTCACAAAGCGATTGAACGCTGTTATTAATCACTTATGTTACAGTAAGACCCAAATGCTCCCAGCAGGATCACACCCCATCGTACTGGAGGTTTTATAAACACCCAAGGCTCTGACCCAGAAATACTGAGAGTCTAGTAAGACCAAAGGGCGAGGGAGAGAGCTACTTCTAGGTCTCAAGTGAATTAGTTTGATGGCCTCAGTCACAACTTTACTGGATGTTTTTTGCCTCTTTTTCTCACTCACACCCTGCACAGGGCTGGTGAGTCAGAGGTCAGGAGTGGAAAGCTGGATTCAAGGGACCTCCCAATCATAATGTAGCAGCCAAAATGAAGGGAATTCAGAGAAAAATAACAAAAATTATAAAGGAAGCTGAAGGGAAATGGCTCAGTATATCTGATTGGCTAAGAAATGACCAAAGGGGACATGGTAATTGTCTGCAATTATTGGGAGAATGTAAATGTAAGGCACAGAGAGGAATTCTGTAGGCTATGCAATGCTTTGAAGATTGTAAGTATTATGTAATATGGGTGTGAACCACTTCGCATATTAGACCAAAATTATACTACAACACCTCAGAATTATGTGGCAAGGCCAGCCTCTTATCTCCCAGCCTGTGGCCAGAAGCTGGCTGTAAGATGCACTCCATCCCCGAGGACATGAAGTGGGCCAGGATGGGGTCTTAAGACCATGGTAGAGGGGAGCTCTGAGAAGAAAGCTCAAGCCGAAGAGCCAGAGAGCCATTCAGGTTTAAACTGGTTAGCAAGAAAAACTTTGTGAAAAGTTTGAAATGGCACTGGGCTCCCACCAGCTTGTGTGGAAGGTTTTATGCACCTGCCACACCCATTCCTACACTTCAACATAAAATACACAACATTTTCCATGCAAACTAGTTGTAGCTCCCTTCTCAGGCCTTCCCTCACCTATCTAGGAGTGGCAAGAAGTGCCCCCTTCCCTTGGCATTTCCTCCTGCAAGCCTCCCCTATAGCTCCCATGTATGCACGGAGTAGTACAGGCAAGAAACGCTTTGGAAAGAACCAAGAAGTGGTTGACTTCCCTTCCCTTATTCCTCTCAACAGGGTCTTAACGTCAGAGCTGGCTTGGGACCCCCTGACAGCCAACCCTGTCAATGACTTCATTATTGAACAACACACAAAGTACATCTGGCAGATATGCATGTTCCTTACAGCTGGAAATATGCAGCCTAGCCTCAACCTTGCATTCATCTGAACAGATGTTACGTAGGACATTCTAGCAGCAATTAAACAGCTAGCCAAGACAGCCTCAGCTGGTTTTGGTTTTGATTCTCTAAGGGTCAATTGAAAAGAGGGAATAAACCAACATGTACAGTTAAGCAGAAACAAGTCAAAAAGAGAGCCGAACATCAAAATTCTCCTTAATTCTACATGGCCAAGCCGAACTCCAATGTTCAGCATGGAACTCCCATGGAGACAGATCACCAGGCAGATCTGAGAGCTGAAAGTTATTCAGATTCCATAACTGCCCTGAAGCGGGGTGGCCACCCGCTCCTGCCTGGAAGGGCTTAAAACAGCCCTGGGAGAGGGCTGCGGCAGGGAAAAAGCTGGGCTGAGTGGGAGGCAGCCTCAGCTGTGGCCACGCCCCAGACAGACCCAGTGGGCCCGATAAAAGCCAGTGAAGCCAGGAGCAGGGGGACTCTCTCTCTAGCCTGTGGAAAGGGAGGGACCTGGCTGCTGGGAGCATACCAAGGTACCTGAGGTGGAGCAGGGCTGGGGGAAGGCCAGAGGAGCTGGGGAACTCCGGCTTGGAAACCCCCCAGGCTGCAGGCCTAGTGGAAGGTCAAATAGGTACTGGGGTTGCAGAGGGCAGCCCAAGGGGTAGGCAGAAGCAGCAGGTCCAAACCCCCTTTGCCTATGAGGAATGGTGCTTACACTGCAGTTGGCCCCAGGGAACGGGGGCGAGGTGATGACTGGCAGTGGCCACAGACTGAGGCGAGGTGGGGGTAGAGGGTTGGGGGTTCCCAGGGGAGGGGAGACCCAGATCTGTATGGGGTACTGCAGGTGGCAGCACCCTGGCATGAAAGGGGGAACCGGGGTCCAGGAGGGACTCAGGGCCTAGCGGCAAGCGGGACACCGGCCTGCAGAGGGCTCTCCGGAGGCTGGAACGCTAATTCCCTGGACCACGAGCAGGAGGCGCCGCAGGGGTTAGTCCGCCCTGCTACATGCCCACTCTGATCTTCTTTCTGTAGTTAATGGTTCACCCTATTACACCGGTTACAAGCTGCACCAGATAAGTCACTTTTGCAAGGCCTGGATTTAGCTTTTAATTTGGGAGCAGAAGTATCTGATGTTGCACTGACCTAATTGTTTTTTCTCTCCCCTTTTTGTGTATGTGAAGCTACTAGACAGACATTGTAATGACAGCTCCAGGTTTGGTGCTAACACAATGGAGTTGCTGCAATGTACCATGTCCTAGTATTTGTGTGTGCGTGTGTATCAGAAGATCCACTGTACTCACAGGAATGGTCATAATCTAGCCCAGTACCTGCCTACCGGTGTTCTTGTACGTGACCTGTATTGATAACTTGTGATAGGTCAGAAGATAAAGTTATAGTTAAGCTGCTCTCACAAAAGTAACTTTATCAAAATTAAAATATATTTTTTATTTTTGCTCTTAGCTAAAACAAGAAAGGAGATTAATCCCTACAGGGGAACGTTAAGCCCTTGCACCTTTATGAAGGACCATTTTCCTTTGTTGGTAGGATTATTTATTCGCCCAAGGCTAATAAAAATGTTACACCTGCTGTATGACATTAATAAATAAGGACAGTAAATAATGAATAATAATGCTCAGCACTTTGACTTCAAAGCACTGTACAAACATTAATCAATCATTAAGCATTAATAAATAACGTAGTCATTAATTAATGTTGTGCTTGGGAACCAAGCATTTGGAACCCCATTCAAAGGTGTGCAATGTTGGGCTTCTCCCCACCCATCTACACAGTGACCTACAGAAGCGGTGTCCTTCTCCCACCAAAGCTGTCTCCACCCCTCCTACCTTTTTTATTTAAAACAAAATTTTGGTTTCAAAATGCACCGTCCCCCACAAGATGTTCCTGACATTGATTCCCTGATTCAGGCCCTCTGAAATCGCTTTGAGAAGGGAGAATTGATGTGTAAACCAAGGAAAATATGTTAACTAACGTGTTTTAATTAGCACAGTGTTAAACACAAATTGTGCCCTTAGCACAGACAAAAGCAAATTTGTGCTTAACATCATGCTAATTAAAACGTATTTCTAGTGAGGGAACAGATCTCTGTGGAGATCTGCTCACAGCCCAAAGCTGTGTGGTATCTTTATCAATTATCTGGGAAAAGATATACAATCACTGCGGGTAATGTTTGGAGGTGACCCAACAATTGGTGGAGTGGTATATAAAAAGAGCAGATCCGTTTGACAGAGTGATCTGGATCACTTGGTAAGCTGAATTTGTTTGAATAATGTGTATTTTCATACAGCCAAATGCAAGGACACACATCTCGGAACAAAATACATAGGCCCTAGTTACAGGATAGAAAGCCAGGACACTGGAAAGCGGTGACTCTGAAAGGACTTAGGGGTCACAGTGGATAACCAAATGCGCATGAGCTCCCAGTGTGATGCTGTGGCTATGACAGCGAATGTGATCCTTGCTGCATAAGGGGAGATATTGAGAAGCAGTAAGGATGTGGTCTTACCTCTGTATTAGTGAGATATCACTGAATACTGTGTCCAGTTCTAGTGTCCACACTTCAGAAAGTGTAGTGAAATTGTGAAGGATTCAGCAAACAGCTAAATGATTGACTCAAGTTCTGGAAAACATGCTTTATAGTGAGAGACTTAAGAAGCTACATCTGTTTAGCCTATCCATCAGAAGATTACAAGGTGACAGTCTATAAATGCCTACAAGGGGAGAAGTTTTCTGATAGTAGAGGGCTCTTTAGTCTACAAGACAACAACATAGTAAGAACCAGTGGATGAAAGCTGAAGCTAGATAAATTGAGTTTAGAAATAAGGTGCACATTTTTAACAGTGAGGGTGATTAACCATTGGAACATTTTACCAAGGGTTGTGGTATATTCTTCATTACTTGAAGTCTTTAAAGCAAAACTGGATTGCTTTCTACTCTAGCTCAACCAGAACGTACGGGCTTGATGCAGGAATTATTAGGTGATGGCTGTACTGTGCAGGGCATCACTCAAATGACCATAATGGTTCCTTCTGGCCTTAAAATGTATTAATTTTTCCTAACACAATGATTTTCCTAGTATAGACAAAGCCAAAAGGACAGAAGCTGGAACAGTTTAGAAATACAAAGAATGCTCTGGAAAACAGGGGCTCCCTCTTCCCCGAAAGCCTAGGAAAGGCAAGTTAGAGAGACATGGCCGTAAAAGAGAGCCTGGGAATCTCACTGCCTCATACCAGGTTTAGCAGGTGTGGAGTCACTGGCTGCCTTCACCGTCTTGAGTAGAAGATGCTGGTTAGAGGGCACAGGCATGCCTGCTCTGCATTGCTGCTGCTGCTGCTGCTTCAGGGCCTAGTGAGAGCGGGGAGAGGACACGACAGATAATACATTCAAACCAAGCTTGTAATAAAGAGCTTCAGAAATACATCCCCTGCTTCCAGTGCACTGTTCAATTTAAGGAGACACATTTTCTACTCTTTGTCTGCATAGAAACTGTTCAAATAACACAACAGGAAAAGATTTAAGTGGACCAGTTACTCAGGATCTTAAATGACCATTTCTTGGAACAGCGAGTCCTAGAGAACATGAGACAACTTGGAACAGCGAGTCCAAGAGAACAACAACTATATCTGTATCTAGAATTAACTATAATAGCACCACCAAATAATAATGACTACCAGGGCTTACATTCTCCCCGCGTATTTCCTGGGGCTCAGGGCTCCAGCCCCGCGGGGAATGCCAGGGCTCCTGCGGGTTTGAAAATATTTACTACAGCTCCTCTCAGGTTGGCTCTCGCTGAATTTAACCTCTAGTGACTACAGTACAATTAATCTCATCTTCCTCAGGGGAGGGATCTTACAATAAACGTGTACAGTGACATTAAACTTGAGTAAGGTGGAATTTTTAAAAATGAGGAAGGTAGTCAAAGATTCTAAAATTGAAAGTGAAGAAAATTAAAACCCTTTGCGTCAGCATGGAGGCTATTAAAACAACTATAACCAAGTCCTAGAAGGTATTCATACCCTTAACCAGAAGAGGAAGCAGGAGGGCAAGACATGAAAGTTGGGTTAAATGCTAAAGTTCACAAGGTCACCCAAGCCAAAAAGCTAAATTTAGCCCTAATGAAGCCAACAGAGAGTAGCATGAACTATGGCAGGTACAATGTAGGATGGAAATTAGGCATGGGATAGAAAGTAACAATGAAAATATTATAATGCCATTATATAAGTCAATGGAACATCCTCACCTCGATAGTGTGTTCAGTTCTAGTCACTCTGTCTCAAAAAGCATATATCAGATATAGTAGGGGTTCAGAGACAGGCAACAAAAAAATTAGAGGCCTGGAGAGACTTCTGTATGAGGAACAACTGAAAAGATCGGGAATGTTTAGTTCAGAGGAGACACAAATAAGTGGGGATATGACCGAGGTATACAAAATGACTAGAATAGAGGAGGAGATTAGGTACTTCTGTTCACCACTCATGACATAAGACAAGGGGATTGTTTTGTCAAGGAAACCGCAATGCAACACATTTAAAACTAGTAAATGAAGTATTTTCTACTATGCATAAATAACCTGTGGAATTCACTGCCACAATATATAATTGAGCCCAAAAAATGAATGGGATTTAAAAAAAATGACATTTATATTGATAATGCAGACATCCATAGTTACACTGGACAGGACAAAACATCTTTTTAGGATGGCTATAAACCCTCCTGTTTCAGGGCACAAGCAAAACATTGATTGACAGGGATTAGTAAGAAACTTCCTCTATGAGCAAATTATACCATAATTGCCAACGGCAGGTTTTTCTGCATCTTCTTCTGAAACATCTGGTACCAGCTACTATCAAGAAGATCCTGGACTAGAGGGAGCACCAGTTTGTTCTTGTATGTTGCTGGTGTGTATGTATCCGATAGTCCTATGTTATTCATAGATTATTAAAAATGAAAGTGTTCTAAAAATCCAGTTCACTTCTTGGCTTGATGCCATTTATTTGGTACATTTTTCTCAGCCAGGACAATGTAAACCAATTGTCATAAATATAAAGGGAAGGGTAAACACCTTTAAAATCCCTCCTGGCCAGAGGAAAAACCCTTTCACCTGTAAAGGGTTAAGAAGCTAGGATAACCTCGCTGGCACCTGACCACAATGACCAATGAGGAGACAAGATACTTTCAAAGCTGGAGGGGGGGAGAAACAAAGGGTCTGGGTCTGTCTGTGTGATGCTTTGGCCGGGGACAGAACAGGAATGGAGTCTTAGAACTTAGTAAGTAATCTAGCTAGATATGCTTTAGATTCTGATTTCTTTGAATGGCTGACAGAATACGCTGTGCTGAATGGAATGGATATTCCTGTTTTTGTGTCTTTTTGTAACTTAAGGTTTTCCTGGAGGGATTTTCTATGTTTTGAATCTAATTACCCTGTAAGGTATTTACCATCCTGATTTTACGGAGGTGATTCTTTTTACTTTTTCTTCTATTAAAATTCTTCTTTTAAGAACTTGAATGCTTTTTCATTGTTCTTAAGATCCAAGAGTTTGGGTCTGTGGTCACCTATACAAATTGGTGAGGATTTTTATCAAACCTTCCCCAGGAAGGGGGGTGCAAGGTTTTGGTGAGGGTTTTGGGGGTGAAGACGTTTCCAAACGGGCTCTTTCCTAATAAAATAAACCTGGTTAGACGTTTGGTGGTGGCAGCGAAAGTCCAAGGGCAAAAGGTAAAATAGTTTGTACCTTGGGGAAGTTTTAACCTAAGCTGGTAAAAGTAAGCTTAGGAGGTTTTCATGCAGGTCCCCACATCTGTACCCTAGAGTTCAGAGTGGGGAAGGAACGTTGACACCAATGAACAGAGTTTTGGTTTTGTTCTCAGTGCTGAAATGTTTGAGCTGCAAACACTTGCTGGGGGTGAGGATGCAGAAAAGGAGGAATGTTTATTCATTTAAAAAGAGGTTTTTTAAAATTCCATGTCAACACTGAGATCAGTGTTTGCTCTTGTAAAAGCTTGGATTTTACATCATCTACATGTTGGGCCCAATTGGAATTGACAGTGTCCCTTTAAAGCTACTTTCAAAAAATATACCACTCTAGTTAAAAAACAATTACCAAGGGAGTGAAAATGAGTTTTTCCCTAATGCTGCTGCTGATCCAGGCAGCAGCAAACAGGTGTTTCAATGCAACAGTGGAAAAACTCTGTAAATACCTCTAAAAAAATCCAGGTACATTTCTTCAAGGAGTTAAAAAAATTCCACCCTGCAAGCTGACTCGTGCATCTAGCATGTTTAGTGTATTCCAAACAGCGAGTTGAAAACAGCTTGCCCCAAAACTGTTTCCTGGAAAGATTATATTCTTTTTATTTCCTTTTGTTTTGCCCTCTCTCTCTTTCCCTCTCCTTGTGAGCTTACCCTTAAATGTTACCAGTCTGGATGCCCGGCAGTATGCTCCTGAGCGGCATGCATACCAGAGAGCAGATCTGAGAACACCATTGCTTTAAGTGGCTGCATACTATCACTTTCCTTTAGGGGGTGAGGAAGCGCTGTTGTGCTTCTCCCTCCAACTCCCCACAATTACAGCACTTAATATCTCATCTTCTCAGAGCTGCTCTCCAGGGACCCAGAGGGAGAGAGTCCCATATTCCTCGCACTTAGTCATCATGTGAGTGCATGTGTGTGTTTTTTTTTTTATTGTCTAAAGCATTTTATTGTTCTCTTTATTTATACAGTTAAAAACAGACAATACTAGACAAAATTGTGCAAAGAAAAAGGTACATCAAGCACGCAGTTAGCACAGAGTGTGAATACTAATGTCAGCAGCAGGGCTTGTGTAAGTTGCACCTGAGGATAATGGCCCCCAAGAGCTAGTCTGGCAAACTGGCATCAGCTAGGAATTGCACCTTCCTCACCATACCCCCTGCTTTCTCTGGCCACACCACCTATTTGAAGAAGAAGTGGGAGAAGGTGATGATAGTCATTACATTGACCTTTAACCACCTGAGGATTCCATGTCAGGGTAATCCTTGGGTAGCCAGTTAAACTGCCTTTATGGTGAACTGGTGGGAAAGTGACTGCATCAGAGCCAAGATCTGGCCCAAAGTGTCTTTGCTTTTTCTTTTTGGATCTGAGTGCAGTCTGTGATACCAGTGACATGGGGTGCTGGAGACACGCCCAAAGACATACATTTGCACTTGCATAGCTCCATTCTTCACACAGGAAGAACCAAGAGGGTAGCATTAAGTGATGAGTCATCTGATTTGGGGTTCTAGTGTGGTAGAGCACAGCAATCCATTCTCGCACCTCTCTTGTTCAATCTCACTGTCAATGAGGCTGACAGGACAGAGTGAGAGGTTCAAGCCGAAGGGCAACAATATGAGATTAGTATTCTGCTTTTATCAGACCTGGATGGTACAATTTCTGAGCCTTCCAAGAGTCATGCTGAGAGCTGGACTATGATAAGAGTAGGGTAGCATCTGGTCTCTTTGTTCCTTCCCAATGTCCACATAGCCACTCTGGTCAAGGGGACTTGATTTTCCCCATCTATGTTTGGCAAGAAAATTATGATTTTTCCAGTAAGGTGCAGAACCTCATCCTGGTTAGTCATGCTTGGATATTGGATTGCTGTAATTCTCTACCTGGGTCTATACCTGAAGATCAGTTGGAAACGTCAGGTGATACAACATGCAGCCATCTGCTTACTTAGCAGTACCATGTGCTGGTAGCATATTACACTGGTATTCCAGAAACTTTGCGGGATGCCAGTTTGAGGGTGTAGATCACAGAGTTAGGTTTGATCTGTAATGGTCTTTATGGCTTTGGTTCTGCACATCTCAGATCAACTCTCCCTGTTTCATGCAGCATCCCAACACTGGTGGTCAGCTGAGACACTCAAGCTTATGGTCTCTAGAATTATATATCAATAGGCTGGGACCGAGTGTCCTCAACTCTTGAATTTGCTTTCCTTCCCCTCCGGCACAGCGTCCTAATCTGTTGAGCACCATGTTGAAGAATGGTGTCCAGTCAGTTATGTGCAATACATTTTCCAGAACATGCTAGGAGAACTGAAATCAAATCACTGTATTGCTTTAAAAATAGGGAAGGGCCACGAGTGACACTAAGCCAAGAAGTGAAGTGATGGCTATGTTTTCTTGCATCACTGCACTCATAGCACTTTCCAAGCAGGAGCTAGGTATGAAAAAGTGAGCCCTTTGCTCCCCTCGTACCTCTAGAATATGCCTTTGGCCATCCTGCCTACTTGTTCTTGATTTAGTCGTAAGTGGAGCCCAGGATCTGGTCCTAGAGGTGAATATAGCTGAATCACTGGGTAATAGCGACCATAATATAATTCAATTTAACA